ATAGCTAGGATACAGGGTAGGCACGATCATAGGCACAAACAAGTTTCATGGCATTCTTGAGATTATCAAGGGGTTCCCATGTTGATTCTTCATCACGGTATCCAGTCCATTTTACTTTGTATTCGGTGATTGGTTCTGGGTGGTCTGATACTAGAGTTGTTCTTCGTCCTATGATTGACTCGACTATGAATTTTGGGCCTGTTGGAATCATGATTGGTATGGTTAGGGGAACAGGGATTTTCTAATGATGTTCTACAGGGTTGTCAGGAAAAATGAAAGTGTTTGTTCAGGATGCAAGGGCTGGTATGTCCAAAGGAGTGGGAAGCAAAGTCTCATGTAGGAACAAAGTGTCCAAGTGTCTTGAAAGGGAATCTGCAGTGGTCTTGATCAGGTCTTGGAGTAGGTGGTAGAAGCAGTCTTCAGCGGCTGCGACAGGTTGAAGTCCAAGAAGCGTAGCAGTGGTTCACATGTCCAAAGTCCAAGTGCTAGGGTGCGTCGGGTACACGAACTGCAATGAGGTCTGATCTAGAAGCAAGGAAGTCGCAGACTGATGCAAAGATCCATGTCACAGGTTGCTGCTCCAGTAAGTCCGCGAGTCGGGATGCGGGCTGATGAAACAGCATGGTGGCCAAACCAGCTGTATAATCTCCATGATTAGTGAGGCAGCAGGCCATCGTACTCGTGCGTTTGCCATTAGATCCTTTATCGTCGGCGTCACGCAGGTCCACAAGCATTGAATGAGGGAGACAAGGTAGTGGAGAGGATAGATGGGACAAGGATAGGCGAGGGCAATGGCAAATCAGACATCAGGAATCATGGTCGAGGGGAGGGTGGGCTGGGTTCAAGCGTGTGTGTACGGCAGGGTTGCGAGGTTGTAGCAGGGTTTTAAGCGAGGGTTTAGGGTTTATGCTAGGATATAGCTAGGATACAGGGTAGGCACGATCATAGGCACGAACAAGTTTCATGGCATTCTTGAGATTATCAAGGGGTTCCCATGTTGATTCTTYATCAGGGTATCCGGTCCATTTTACTTTGTATTCGGTGATTGGTTCCGGGTGATCTGATACTTGAGTTGTTCTTCGTCCTATGATTGACTCGACTATGAATTTTGGGCCTGTTGGAAGAACGATTGGTGGAGGTCTAGGATAAGGGCGGTCAGCGAACTGGGGCAGGGATTCGTGGTATTCCTTCAAGTATTCTACGTGGAAGACTGGGTGGACCCGACGCATGTTAGGTGGAAGCTGAAGTTTGTAATTCACGGGAGAGGTTTGTTCAATGATGGGGAAGGGACCGAGCCACTTGTTCGAGAGTTTCTTGGACAAGCCTTGTTCGGGTTCAAAGCGTTTGGCAGAAAGCTAGACTTTGTCTCCTACTTTGAATGACACGTCACGTCTGTGTTTGTTAGTCTTGTTGGCTTGTTGTTCTTGTGTTCTTTCAAGGGCTTCGGTTGCTTCTCTGAGGACTTTGTTCATTGCTGCTACCCATTCATTGAGAGAGGGGCAAGGGGTGGAGGGGATGAGCTGCAAGGGAAGCAAGAAATCAGAGGGCAAGCGGGGATGGTAGCCAAGGTCGAGGTAGAAATGGGACATGCCAGTGGAGGGGCAGACAACGTTGTTGTAGGCAATCTCGGCGGCTGTGAGCAATTGATCCCAGTCATGTTGGTATGGATGACAATACTTCCGCAGAATTCTTTGGCGAGTATCGTTCATCTTCTCGGTCTGGCCATCGATCTGGGGGTGGAATGCAGTGCTATACTTGAGCGTGATTCCGTAGGCTTGGAAGAGGTGTTTCCAGAACTGTGATAGGAAGCGGGGATCGCAGTCACCGATGATGTTCTCGGGGAGACTGTGGTGGCGAGCGACATGATCGAAGAATAGTACGGCGATGTCTCAAACGACAAACAATGACGTAGATGCAATCATGCCCACGGTGGGTCTTGGGGAGGCCGCGCACGAAGTCCATGGAGATGGACTGCCACCGGTGGGTAGGGATGGGCAGTGATTGGAGCATGTCGGGCTTGGCCCGGTTCGAGGGATTAACGGCCTGACAGGTGGGGCACGAGCGGATGTATGCTTTGACGTCGGCGAGTTGAGAAGGCCAATGGAATTAGCGGGAGATGGTGTCGAAGGTTTTCTGGAAACCGAGGTGGCCAGCGGTCTTGGCGTCGTGGTGCTCGACCAAGAGTTGGGTAGGAAGACCACGTGCGTCAGGGATGAAGAGTAGGCGAGTGCCCTTAATGTCAATGTAGAGTAGATTGTCATGGAGAGAGTAGTCAGGGACTGGGTCAAGGTTGCGGAGTTGGTAGTAAATGGAAGCGAAGTCTGGGCAAGCGAGGTAACCTTGGGTGTAGCGGCGATGTAACGAGGGAAGAAGTTGAATGTGGGTCATGGCAGCGTAGACTTTCTCAGGGGGCTTGTGGTCGGGGCGGCGGGAGAGGGCATCAGCAACGCGGTTGCTTTTGTCGGGGGTGTGGCAGATGGTGAAGGTGAACTGGGCAAGGAAGTCTAGCTATCAGGCTCGGCGGGGGGKGATGTCTTTCTTTGTAAGGATGGAGGAGACGAGTGTGTTGTCTGTGCGGATGGTGAAGTATTGCCCGTCGAGGTACGAGCGCCAGACTTTGAGGACGTAGACCACGGCTAGGAGTTCCTTCTCGTTGGAGGGGTAATTCATCTCCGCGGGAAGGAGTTTCTTGCTAGCGAAGGCAATGGGGTGTTCGCCGGGTGGGGACTGTGAGTGAGTAGGGAAATCTTTGACAGAGGGGATCTCGGTGGGGTCAGGAGGGAAATGTTGGGACTGGACAGCCCAATGGCGAAGTCTGAGGCATCAGTGGTGACAAAGAAGTGGCGAGTGGGGTCAGCGATCTTGAGGACGGGGGCGGTGGTGATGAGTTGCTTGAGTTTGTCGAAAGCGGCTTGGTGGCGTTCAGTCCATGTGAAGGATTCGGTGGCGCGGGTGAGCTCATGGAGAGGGTAGGAGACGTCGAAGAAGTTTTGAATAAAGGGTTGGCGAGTCCAATGAATGAGCGAACCTGGGTCAAGGTGGAGGGAGGTGGGAACTCGACGAGGGCGGAGACCTTTTTGGGGTCCATGCGAATGCCGTCGGCCGAGACAATGTGACCAAGGTATTCTACGCTAGGGGAAACAAATGCACACTTGTTGAGCTTGGCGTAAAACTTTTGTTCTCGAAGGATGGAGAGAACTTTGCGAAGGTGTTCGAGGTGGGATTCGAAGGTGGGGCTAAAGACGAGGATATCATCAAGGTAGATCACGACACAAACTTCGAGGAGGTCGCGAAAGATGTGATTCAAGGTGGATTGGAATGTGGCGGGGCCATTGGTGAGTCCCAAGGGCATCACGAGGAATTCGTAGTGCCCGAAGTGAGAGCGAAAGGCGGTCTTGTGGGTGTCCTCCTCGCGGATGCGGATCTGGTGGAAGCCACTACGGAGATCAATCTTGGTGAAATACTTGGCTCCACGGAGGCGATCAAGAAGCTCGGATATATGAGGGAGTGAGTACTGGTTCTTGATCATGATCCGGTTCAGGCCACGGTGGTCTGTGCAGATGCGAAGTTTCGAGGTGTCGTTCTTCTTAACGAAGAGACAGTTGGTTCCGAAGGGGGAGGAGCTAGGCTTAATGAATCCTTTCTCAAGGAGTTCGTTAAGTTGTCACTTCATCTCTTCGGCCTCGGGGACGGAGAGCTGGTACGGGGGGCGACAAGGAGGAGGGTGGCCGAGCTCGAGATCAATGGTGTGGGATACACCGCGATCGGGAGGTAGACCGACAGGCAAGGACTCGGGGAAGACATCTTTGAATTCGGAGAGGAGGGCGGTGATGTGGGGATCAGAAGGAGGATCTTGGCCGGGTTTGTCCGTTGGAAGCAAGTCATCGAGACGCTCGCGGTCGATGACAAGGCAATAGTAAGCGGAGTCGGGGTGTTCACGGGACATGTGGAGGAATTGATGTGGGGAGATGGGGGGTGGGGTGAAAGGGGGAAGAAGGTAGGGGATGCCAACGGGAGAGCCGGGAGGGTTGGTGAGGCGGACAAAGGAGGGGTGGAATGAGTAGGGCATGTAGCGGTCAAGCCACGGGGTCCCTAGGACGATGTCGCACATAAGGTGCATAACATCGAAGGAGACCTGACTGCGAAGGGGGCCGACAACCATGGTGGTCTCGGGGACTGTGCGATCGACGACGACGGCTTAGTCCTTATCCCCTAGGCGGATAGTGATCGATGAGTCATAGCCGGTGGAAGGTAAGCCGACTTTATGGACACAAACATTGATGATGAAGTTGTCGGTGGCGCCAATATCAAGGAGGGCCCGAAACTTCACCGTCGATGCACCGAGGGAAACGAGAATGAACTTGAGTTGGAACTGTGCGGATCCGGCACAAGCAGAGGAGATCATAGTGTTGACGCGGCGTTGCTCGAGGCCTAGCCTAATGAGCCGATCATGTCGGGCTCGTTCCTCAACAAGATCTGTGAAAGTGGTGGCGGATGGGTTAGGGAGGAGGATGGAAGAACACGTGGCAGTGGAGGGTTCATCCGTCGGAATAGGAGACATCGTCGGGAGGGGGGCAGGCGGAGTAGACTGCGACGCCTGGAGATTGTTCTGTGGGATGTGCGTCATCGGAGGAGGGGTTGGCAGACGAATGGTAGATGCCAAATGAGCCATCGGTGGGACGGAGGACGTCACCGATGGGTGGGCCGACAGACGTGGTGTTGATGTCGGTTCGATGTCCTGGGGACTGTGTTCATGATGAGGAGGGACCCGCGCTTGCCGAGGGCGGTGATGCGGAGGTTGCGGGTCGAGTGGAGGTGGACTGGCGGGTGAATTGTGCGGCGCTGGGGCAATTGGTTTGTTGGTGCCCCAATTGATGACAACGGAAGCAACCCCCTTTTGCTTGGAGGTAGGTGCGCTCCTCGGGGGTGAGTTTCTTGAGGCGGGAGGGTGGGGTAGATGAGGGTGGTCGAGAGCTGCAACCTCTGTGTTCCATCCTCATGAATTGGACGACATTGAGCTCCTCGGAAGAGAGGGATGAAGAATCGAGTGAATCGGAAGATGCGTCGGGGTCCGGTGTAGTGAACTCGTCCGAGGAGGTGGTGGAGGTGGTGTCCTCGAAGGCAATGTTGTGGAAGAAGCGAGGGCGGGAAGGGGCCGATGTAAGTGCGGTCTTGTAGGGGGAGAGGATGCGATCGAGTTGGAGGGTCCGAGTGAGGAGGTCGGTGAGGGTCATAGGGGGCTCGTGGACAAGGGCGGCCGCTAGGTCTTTGCGGCATACGCGCTTAACGTGGGAGATGAAGGCGAAGTCGCTGGCGACATCAGTGGGGATATGTTGGCGAAGTGAGTGGACGTATTGCACAAAACGGTCTGTTGGGCCGTTTTGTTGGAGCCGGCATAATTGGTCAATATAGTCGTCGGCCGTTTTGTGTGGGCGGAAGGTGGAGGTGATGAGGGTGGCCCACTCAAGGAAGGTGTGAGGCTGGAGACCGGAGTGGTGGCGATTAGACATTTCGGTGTACCACCAGTGAGCCGCGTTGTCCAGAAGTCGACCGCCAGCGATGGGGAGCCAGTGGATGACGGGGATGCCGTGGAGGGAGAAGGCTTGTTGGAGTTTGGTGAGAAAGAGATGGACATCCTCATGGTTGTCGTTGACGCGAAATGATGGGGGGATTTTGCCTTCTCTGGGGTTAATGGAGGCAAGGGTGTTGAAATCAAGGGTGGGGGTGGGGGAGTCGACCAGGGTGAAATCATTGGTGGGGTTGGTGGGGATGAGTGCATTTGGGGGAAGTAGTGGGGGAGCGGGATGCACAGCGTGTGGGATAATCTGAGTGTAGTTGGGGATAGTTGAGGTGATAGTGGAGGTGGATAAGAGGGGTTTTGATTGGGGGGGGATGGTTGATGACTGTGTGACGGCGGGGGTTGTCGCCTTGGGCGAGAGGGGAGGTGGAGTGGCCACGGTGGAGGTAGTGGTGGATGAAGATGGCGGTGATGTTGATGTGGAGGTTGAAGCAGAGGCTTGCCCGGAGGAGGGGGTGGTTTGGGGTGTGGAGGAGGGGGGTGTCGTCGTGGTGACAACCATGATGGTGGGGGTGTTTCCCTCGAGCGTGGTGACGTGGTCGCATATGGCCGACATGTTGGCCTTTATGTCGTCGAGAGAGGCGGTGACGGAGGTTCGGAGGGTGTTGAGTGCGTGGAGGATGGCGGAGAGGTCGGGGGTGGCGGTGTTTGCTGGTGGTTGTTCGCCTGCGAGGTTGCGGGCGATGCTATCGATCGAGTCGGTGCGGATGTCGGACATGTTGATGGAGGATGCGGTCATGTCGGGGGAAGAGGGGGTGGAGGATGCGGCCGAAACAGATGTGGAGGATGCCGCAGCAGTGGTGGCAGCAGCAGCGGCGGCGGCGGCGGCGGCGGCACGTTGGGAGTTCTTGGTTTGGCGTGGTGGCATGTGGAGGTGGGGGGGGCAACTCCTATTTGCAAGAATAGAGCGTAAATTAATTTGAATTTATTCGAAAATGATTCGCGAGTGTATTTTTCAAGAAAATACGAAAGCAAAATTTTCAGGAATTTCCAAATGAAGAAAAGGAATAATTCATTCCGAGAAAAAAAATTCCGGCGAAATTTATTCGGATTTACGTTTGGGGTAAAATTTTATAATTTAAAAAAGGGGTGATTAACTCCGAGTAAAAGAGATTAATTCGGTCGTGAATTAATCGAGTTTAGTCAAAATTAATTAAGGAAGTACTTCTGAACAATAAGAGAATTTCGGAAAAGAATTGCAAAAAAGAATTTTTTGAATTTCAAGAAAATTTGCAAAAAGGAATTATATGAATGGGAAAAAGAATTAATTAGAATTATTTTCGAATTTCCAAAAGAAATATAAAAAAATAATTTAATTAATTCTAACGTATTTTCAAAAATTTTGGAAAAGACTTAACTAATTCGAACGAAAAGAATTTAATTAATTCTGAAATATTTTCGAATTACAAAAATTCCGAAAAACAATTAACTAAAATTATTTCCTAAAAAGAGTCAATTAATAATTAGCTAGGCTACCAGCCGGGCCGCCCGGGTCCCGGGTGGCCAGCCCGTGCAAGGACCAGGGAAGGTCCCAGCAAAAAAAAAAAAAAAAAAAACACCGAAAAATACGAAAAAAAAAACTATGTTGTGCAGAAAAGTAAACTGAACAACTTATGCCTCGGGGTCACATCGAAATTCTCCACCAAATTTAGAATAAAAAGTAATATTAAAAAATTGCATGGGTCCTGGGGACCATCTCACGCAGATGTGTACATGTCATGCATCATCAACTTCCACACACAATGAACAGTAGTCTGACAATAGACAAAGGTAGAGAAGAAGAGGACCGAGTCTCACAGCTTATATTATCAGAAATATGATTACAAAGAGTTTCAAAGTTTCCCTGAGTCCAGCGCTCATCAGCGCAACACAAATCTCTGCTCAACTCATCAATATGCCTTCCAGGGCATCAGCGCTTTCCCTGCAGATTGTCTCCCAGTCATCAAGATAGTCATAACTCATCAGCGCCAACTCAGCAGATCACAACCAACTCAGGTAAGTGTCTCCCATAGCCAAACTTCGAATGCACACTCTTCGTCTCAGTCTCCTTCTCCTATGATGCATACACACACTGTTCTCACAAGGATCTACTCTGAATACTACTCATAGCTAAGTACTAACCCTTCTAACCTACTTGCTAACTCGCTGGGCAGCTATGGCTGCATCTCTTCCAGCGCGCAATCTTCTTCCTCCTTCATAGCGCATCTTCCTTCCTCCAGCGCTACTCCTACTGACTTAACGCACAAGTGCTCCAGCACTTC